CCCTCTCCTTTAAAAAAAATCATAAAAGTATATATGATGATGTATATAACATGCAGTTTCACTTGCTTTCCTATCCTTTTCTTTTAGTAACAAATTCTTTTGGGAATCTGTAAACTGTGTACCCGTGTTCTGTCTTCGAATTCCAACTGAAGAAAAAATAAGTTCAAAACTCATTGCATTTGAATTCTTCTTCCATAATTATCACATAGGGATTAAATAACAAGATGTTAAAGAAATATTCAGGTTCAATATTACTTACATATTGTAATATTCGTATATCAAGCGTCGATCGAACCTGCTGCAATTCAATCAATATATTTATTTCTATTAATTAATAGATAAGTCAATGGATTAGAGCAATTGCGGTTGCCTAAAATAAAATAAAAACAAATAACACAAATACTAGATAATAATTATTTTAACTGCCAAAATAATTTTTTATATAACATACTGTAGCATATTGTTGTACGTGGTAGAGCCATGCTGCAGCTATATTATTAGTATGGTTGCAGCACGAATGGTTGAGCTCGACCGGGGAAGGACCACGCTCTCACAGAATACCAGCGTAAAATAGCATCTCGATGCTGCTGTGTTTCGTATGGTGAGTGTAGAGAACCGGAGAGCCACTCTATTTACTGGAAACAAGGAATTCCATCTTAGTCCTCACAAGTGACAACTCATCTGCATTGTAATTCGTAGTTGAGGATAGATGTAGATGTCTATGGGCCACAGCAACCACTTACCATCAGGTGGACTGTGTGCTCTTTTGTTACCCTTATCATATTAAAAAAATGAAAAGGCAAAGATAACGAAGTAAAAAATTTGCAAGGTATTTTGCCTTACGTCAATTTGTTAACGGTAGAGTATCTCCGCTAAATTTCAAGGGGCTTTTAAGCGATTTAAAAGAAATGCAAACAAAAACGTCTTGATAGTATGTTTTTCTTCTTCACTTGTGTCCTCAATCAAATGAACGTAGGAACGAGAGACAGTCGCAGCGGCTAGCTACGGGGTCGTCGACCCGGCAAGCAACTATTTCCTGAACAGAAACTTGGGAATGGTTTCTACTTTATCGTCCATCATTTTTAATATTTTTGTTACCTACACCCTCTTATCAAATTTTTGAATGATAATTATATCCATATGTCGTAGAACAGCAAACATTCATTGACCAATGACCAATCATTGACCAATGCATCTATATACTTTAAATAAATCAAATATTAAAATAATATAGTATTTGTACTTTTAAAAAACATTACGAAAAGTTTTAAAAAGGAATTCCTTTTGCCGATTCTTTTACGATCAGTTTATAATTTGAAAAAGTATAAGGTAGAAATAACGTTTCACAAAAATGTAAGTAAATTAATTTCTTTTCTTCGAAAAATAAATATATTTTTTTTTCATTTATAGCGGCCAGACTGATAAATACAAACACAATTTTCGTAATAGAGTATAATATCTAAATCGTTTCGCTCGAATAATTAAGTAATTATTACCTTAAAGTCTAACAGTGCATAATAAATATTATTCCAATGGTGAACTCTCTCACGTAACATAATTTTGAGCGAACCCCTACTCTACGAACGCGCGGACGCCAGAATGTCGTAATGTTTAGACCGTTAACCTTTTATTAGATGCCCTTTGTCCGACTGATATAAATGAACCTCGGATGTTCTCAACATTAAAAACACTTAAGCATTTAACTTTACCTTTAATTGATAAAAAAAAATTAAATTGACAGCCGCAAAAACACAGTTGCAAACATTTAAATACTTTATAGTCAATTGAAATCCTACTTTAACAATAATTATATAATATCTGACAACACTTGTATTATGGAAGTAATTTTTTTTTCTTTTACAAGCCATTTCCAGTGCATTAAGTAATGATGAAGCCCTAGGTGGTAAATCGCACTGTCTTAGCGTAGCAAAAGCCTACTCACTCTAACCTTGAAGACGCCCGGATAGTAATCGGACGGAAACTCATACACCAGCAGATTGTTCCACTCCTTTGCTGTACGCATTACGAAAGATGTAAAAAAATCTTTATTGATCAACTAAAAATTTTACAATGATCTTGAAACATCGTTCTCGAATCTTCTTTATTAAAATAGGATAAAATTTTACATAATACTTAATTTTATCTACAATATCAAAAACTATGATAACAAAAAAAAACTAAAACTAGAAACTTAATTATCATATAGTCCTACTCCCCGCGGTATCGTGCCAAGAACGCTGGCTGCGTTTCCCCGCTGAATGGCTATACTTAGCCTTTGAGCGAGGAAAGAACCAGCCCTCTTATCACCAGCAGCAACGACCAGCCGCGGATGGAGTTCCTTTAGGAACTTCACCGCACGTGGACCCCACGGACCGATAGTCTCTACAGCAAATGGCACAAATATGTAGTCATCTCTCAGAGACTCATATTTGCGCCACTTACTCAGTTCAGCTGCCTCTGATGCCGCCCCGGCTTTAAACGAGGTACCCCTGAGATGAGAGGCCGCCAGAGTGTCTACGCAAGTAACATCCCACACTAGGGCTTTACCTCTCTCCCAAGGGACCAATGTCATACCGTCGGGTCTCTTCTTTTAAGTGTAAAAATACCTTTGCCAGAAGATCCCGCTCCTCCATAGCCATAAGACAGATAGTGATCAACTTAATCCGTAAGATATAATAAACTATTAAAGAAAAGTATGTAGGGAGTGTGTGTGTATGTATGTGTGGTGTGCGCGCGCGCGTTTGTATGTGTGTGTGTGTGTGTGTGTGTGTGTGTGTGTGTGTGTGTGTCTGTGTGTGTGTTTGCTTACTAATATTGTAGTGTCTAACTACTGCATTGTAAAATAGCCTCTGTTTTTTCATAGTTCAATGTTTTTAACCATTTTATCAACAACCGTTTACAATTAGGTATATCTATTAATTTTATATATTTTGTTTACTTTATTGTATATAAAAACTCCGATATTAATTAATATATTGTGACATTTGTGAATTTAAATTCATATTCTTATTGTTACGTTATTTGTAAACGTAAAGCAAAGTAACAAATTATATATGTAATAAGAAGAGTTTGCGTGAAAACCCCCCTTTCGCCTCATCACAACTAGTGACACGTATTTTTTACCCGGCAGCCCCATCGCAGGGTAATGTTTTTTGAGTGTATGTCGAATTAGGAGTTTACTTCAGTTCGTGTTTAATGTACTTAAACATAACGATTTATAATAAATAATTTATTACAATCATAGCAAAAAGGTAAAAAAAATCATATTAAGTAGTTATTAAACGAAAAAGTCAATTCTTAACGCGATTCATACACAGTTTACAGTTAACATACACAGTACAGTTTTCCAATAATCGAGAGCGCATATACATAGATTGATAACAATATAAGAACCATGGCAGCTTAAGAAATAATACTGTAAAATACGGAAGCAAACTGAATCCACCGAAACAAACGCAATTGTTATTAGCACTTAAAAATTTGATTACCCAGAACATGTGCGCAGTGGTGAAGGAAAACATCGTGAAATACTTTACATTTTTAATAATTAAAGTATTATAAAAAATAGTTCCGCTAACACGCAGTATTGACATCTTATCTACTCCAAAAACCCTTAAAAAATGACCTGTGCCCGTGCCCTGCAGTGGAATGTATATGCTGTTACCTTACTTTTTAATATCTTACTTTTAGCACTTTTAACAGAAAGATGCCATTTAAAAACATACCTACAGCTTAAACTTCTTCGGTACGCATACGGTACGCTCTATGCATAAAAAAAAACCGGCCAAGTGCGAGTCGGACTCGCGCTCCGAGGGTTCCGAACAAATCCGTAGGTATATAAGTTTAAAATTATTAAAAATACTTTTATCATATGATGTAACTAAAAATTTATGCTTTTCGCAATTTTTCTTTATCTGTGCTATAATACGTTGCTGCGTATAATACGTTCCGTTTTTTCCTTTTGAGTTATGGAACCCTAAAAATTACAAAAAACCCGCTTTTTGGCATCGCCGTAATAGGATAAATGTACAGATATCAACTGTACTACTAAATAACATTAGGTTAAAAGAATTTGTCTAAAGGTTTATAATATTAAACATATGTATCCAGATAATTTGGAATACTGTCCGGCTCTATTATAAGATAGCGTGACAATACAATATATTTATTCTAACAGTTCAACCTCTACGTAATACTATAGTGAAAGTCCCACCCAAATCGGTTCTCAGGTATTTGTGTGCGACGCGTTCAGACAGACGTTTTCAAAAATTATTGTTTTGGGTGATATTTCGATAGTATATAAGAACTAAATAAAAATTAAAAAATCAATATAGGTACAACAATTGTCTTAAGACTTTTATTATAGTATAGCTATCAAGTGTTGATCAAATGCAAATGTCTATGGGCCACTTAATATCAGATGAACTGTGCTCAATGATCGTATAGAACAAGGGTGACAAACCTATGTTATATAAAAAAATCTTAAATACAACCGTTACTAAATGTTATATTATCAATAAAACGCAATATCAAAGATAAAATGAAAGTAACTATCAGTGAAATCATTTTTATCTATATCACTGCTTTTTATTGGGTGTTATCTATGACAACAAAAGCGTTTATGACCCCAATCACATTATTAACTTTGTTCTTGTTTTCACAGACAGTAAGTACAGTAGGTTCGATACGTACTTAAAGTAAGGATTTATTATTAATCGCTTATCACGGAGCGGCTGTGAACAGGCACGTGCGTTCTGTCGTTCAATAGTCTTCAGGCGGTCCGCGGCTAAACACTACGCTGGTCGAAAAGACAATCGAGTATCGTATAACAAAAGAAACAAACCGGCTTCGCGCTCTTTTTTCTTTTATTTACAATATTATTAATATTATTTCCAGTTTTCCATTACCTACATTTAGTGTAACAATGTGATACACATAAGACATCGACTGTGATTTTTAAGTATTTTTATGGTGAGAGTTAAATTGTGCAGTGAAGTAAAATGATCGAGTTGGTAAAAGTGACCGATGGCTTAAGAGTAAATGGGGCTGTGAGGGACATAGGTGCAGATTCGTTTGTTTGTAGAGTGCAGTTTCTGAATGATTTGGATCCATTCATAGAGTATAACGTGAGAGAGCCCACTAGGCCGTTATACCATACGTTTAACACAACAATACCGCTGTCATATCAAATTGCTGCCGTCCATCGCTTGCTGCAGGCTCCACACCGGGTAAGTTTCATTTTGTACATGATAAGTAAGGCTTATTTTCTTGTTGGTTTAAATTTCTTAAAATATTTTATTAATAAAAAAAATAAACATTTATGTATGTGATTATTTATATGTAACGTAACTTTTATTATTTACACAACGTTGAAACGTTGTGACGTTAATTTACGCAACCATAAATAAAAAATAACTTGTTTTTCAATTCGAGTTGCATTATTCTGTAATATAATTAATTAATTAATTAAAAAAAATCATGTACGAAAAGCTTCCACTCTACCTTTAGGATGAGCAAAGAAGATATAAATTGGTGCAAAAGCGTATAACTACAGACAAACAGACAGTTCTAGGTAAAGTGTAGTCTAAAATCCTATACATGATTCATGAAGGTAATAGGCATATACTAGAAATACATTTTGTATCTATGTCATTCTATATGACCTTTTTTTATAAGATAAGGGTGACAAACGAGCACTCAGTCCACCTGATGGTAAGTGGTTGCTGTGGCCCATAGACATCTACACATATATCTTCGATTAAGAATCTAAATGCAGATGTGTTGTCACCCGTGAGGACTAAGATGGAACGCCTCGTTTCTACACTCACCAAACGAAACACAGCAGCGTTAAGCTGCTATTTTACGCTGGTATTCTGTGAGAGCGTGGTCCTTCCCCGGTCGAGCCGACCCATTCGTGCTACAACCATAATATAGCTGCAGCATGGCTCTACCACGTACCTTATAAGTATAACTGCTTAGTATTCTTTATAATATTTGTGTTCACATAAATAGCATGTGGTGGATTTCCAGACCACAGAACAAATATTTATTTGTAAGATACAAACAGTTGTTTATATCGCATTCGAACCTTCGGCCTGCAGTGCCGCCACCAAATGCTTATTCACTTCGCTACCGAGTTATCCTTTGAACATCTTTGACTGCGTGAAAGATTCCAATATTGAACTAAAGATAATAGCTAAAAAATCTCATAATATTCCATAAATTTCAAATTAATTATCAATTAGTAGCAATATAGCTCTAAGAAACGTTGTCGTTGACTTTTTCGTTGAGCAGAAAATTTCTCTAAAGTACCGGTAAGCGAGTGAAAGACCTATGTTCGGCACTGGGCTTGTAAAGGGCTATACCTTGATTATGAAGTAGCCAGATTTATGTCTGAAACACTGAGCTATCCAGACCGCCCGGAACCCCTAAAACATAATTGAGCAATTAAAACATGATGCTTGTGACGATGTGAACAAACCCTATGTGTCAATGTAAAGTGCTGATTGGTGTTAAAGAAAAAAGTACCAAAAGTCGACTCTATGTCGTGTGAATTAGTAACACGAACGCTACATGAATGTAACAGTTGCGGGTAACGCTACTAATGCGCTTACTCACCGCGGTATTTGGCTAAAATTATCTGCGCTAAATATCTCCGACCAGAGCTCAGGTGAGAGGTGCTCCTGTGATATAACATTTGCAATAATTATTTCCGGGCTGCAAGTCAAATTTGCGCGAAACTTTTGCCTTTTTAAAGCAGATTCTATAGTTATTTTTTGCGATAAATATTTAAAAAAAAGAATACTAGTAACGCTTTTACCGTTACTAGTATTATTATTATTATTATTACTACCGTTAACCACTCCAAGTGAGTTTGAAACGCTTGCTTGGTTCACGATAGTACTTGTCGAATGGCGGATTCCGACCCACGGCTTTATGAGCTCCCAGTACGCCTACCATTAGGCTACTGTCGCTTTAATTTTAATTATTACGTATATAATACCCTCAAACAACGTTACACATAATTTGATTTCTTAGCTTAGGCTTAGCGCTCGCTGTAAATTTCGCAGTACGCGAGAAGCCCGGGTTTGATACCAGCCGGCACCAATGAAATTGTTATTTGCAATTTTATATGCCGATTTACCACGTGCTTCGCGGTGAAGGAAATAAAAAAAGTATTTCAAATACATGTCGCCAACACGCATTGGAGCAGCGAGGCGGACACTTTATTGCCCTTGAACCCTCTCACAAATGAGGAGACGTGTTTTGCCGAGTGTTTTCTTTTAATAAACGTTACCTCCACACTAGGATTTTCTCCTGTATCGTGGGGTAGTTTACATACATAAATTCACAAGGACAAACATCCAGACCTGGAACAATTATTTGTAGGCCATACAAATACTTGTTCCGTGAGGGATTCGAACCCGCGGCCCTTGGTGCTGCAACTTTGCTAAGCCACAGGACATATATAGGCTGTAACTTTATGCCGTATGGTGACCAAGTAAGAGAATCTGTCGTCCCATATCCACCTTGTCGGTGACTTCATGACTACCGTCGGTATAGATGACGATATAGCCAATAACCATATAATAGACGCTAGATGTGGCCATCCGACAACGAGTGGCAGCTCCAGTGCTCCCAGTACAGTGAATGCCAATCTAAATCTTCTGCTAGACGTGGCGATTATCCAGCAGTGGACTTTACGGATATAGGTCGAGAGAAAGAAGAATATTTTTGTGCGTTATCCATCTTTATATATAAAAATTACGTGTCACATTGTTTGTCCGCGATAAACTTCTAAACTACTTAAATGATTTCAAAGAAATTTGTGCATACTGTGTGCAGTTTTGTCCAACTTGAGAGAAAGGATAGTTTTTATCCTGATAAGTGGCACTCAATATTTATTTATTACGAATTTAAGGATTTTTTATAGGAAGGGTCGTCGAATAGGGCAGAACAACGTCTGCCTGGCCAACTAGTATTCATATAAAATCAATACTTACATCACATCACATATGAATATAAAAATGAAATTGATGTGTTTGTAAAAATTTTGTCAGTCTGTTTGTCTGTCTGTCCACGTTAACTTCGGAATGGCTAAACCAATAGAGAGAGCAATACCAAGAGTAATCTAGGCAATATGTTATCCAAAAAAACTTAAAGATTTTTTTACACATTGAAGAATTTATAAAATAAATTGTCTTTGAAGATTATCGAAATTATTAATAATGCCATATTAATAGATCATACTCAAGCAAAGCCAGGTCGGGTGGACTAGTCTTTATATATAAAAATCAATTGCTGTCCGTTAGTCTCGCTAAAATTCGAACACAGCTCTACCGATTTTGATGAAATGTTTTGTTTGTGTTTGAATGGCTCCCTATATAGTTTATATTCACATTAGAATCCGGTAGCCGCGGTTGTTGTCGAGATCCAGAAATCACCGCAAGCCGGGGCGGAACGCTAGTCATTAATAAAATAAATAATATAATGATTTCTTATATTTTTTTATAGGATAGGGTGACAAACGAGCACACAGTCCACCTATCTATCCTGCTTGCAAATCAAAATGCAGATGCGTTGTCACCCGTGAGGACTAAGATGGAATGCCTCTTTTCCAGTAAAAAAGGTCCGGTTCTCTACACACACCATACGAATCACAAAAGCGTTGAGCTGCTATTTTACGCTGGTATCTTGTGAGAGCGTGGTCCTTCCCCGGTAGAGCCGACCCATTCGTGCTACAACTAGAACATTACAGCTAAATAAATGTAACTCCAAAATGTCTAAATAACTTCCACCTATCACAACTGCTTTATCAATCGATTTCATTACCAGCTATTATGAATATTCAATATTCGTTAAATATAAATAAAACATCAGTTAGTTACGGCCACTCATATTTTGTTTTAGTTCTAAGAATATAAATGAGCGACGAAACCTTAATTTAGGTTAATCACGTTCTCTGTTACCTTCAAATTGTTTGCTTTTTGTGCAACCGAACGAACATTCGGTTAGCTCAACGCTAAAGTAACAATTTTTTTCCGGAAAATGACAATTCATTCAAAGGAATATGTGCGATAATGAAATTCATTACTTTTATCTTCTAATCTTGCTATGGGACAAAGCGACTCACATTGAAACTATCTTTGTATTGCAGAAGAGAGCCATAAAAACAATTTATAACCCAGGTCACAAGGAATCCCTTAGAGAAAAATTTAAAGAAATAAATATATTAACTTTGGCCTCTCAATATATTTACGAAAATTTAATATACATACACAAAAACAAAAATATTATTATAATTATTGATGTACATTCTGTAAATACTAAGAACAAGCACACCACAATTACTTGACTCCTAAGAGTCAGTAGTATCTTCAGTGGTCACTGTATACGCTTTTACAACAAAGTCCCAGAAAATATACAGGCATTATCTATCAAAAAGTTTAAAAATTTTAGTAAGCAAAAATTGTTTAGTAAGCTATATACTACTAAAGAGTACATGATTTATGATAATAACCCTGGGAATGAGATGATCGCTACCATGCTGTTTCTAATGTTTTCATACCAATTATATAAAATAATATACTGTAAATTGATTTAATTTAAAAAAAGCCCCGCTGGGTTTCTTGCTGGTTCTTCCCAGGACTGAGATTTTTTCCGAAATAATAGTAAAAGTAAAAAATAGCTTTAAATAAGTATTCTTGTAAGCTATATTGAACAAAAATGATTCTATTGTATTCTATCTCTTATATATTTGATATATTCTTTGCTCATAATGTGTTATTATGACGATGTTAAACATGTTTTTCTCACTATGCATCCCACTGAATTAACCTTAATCACCATAACTCCATCGTCCACAAGTCTCTCGTTAACAATAATTTGTGAAGATCGAAACTGTGTCGGCAAAGATTGCATTCCGTATACTCGTTATCCGCACGCTAAAAAAAAAAACAAAGTTTGCGTAAAAATTTTAGCACAAAGTTAAAGAGATCTTTCATTACGATATTTCATGAACATGAGTTTTTGAGGAACGTATTCCCTCCAAAACTCTTTAAATTTAAAAAGTTACCGCCTATATACGTCCTCCACTTTTGGGCACTGGTCTCTCTTTCATGGGAAGAAAATATTCACCACGCTGTCTCAATACGTGTTAGCGGACTTCGCATAATCTTCAAAAGATTTTATTAATTTCCTCTACCACCGAGCACCAAGTGGCGTGGAT